GGGTCGGATCCGACCGACCCGCGCCCCCCCTGCGCTGTTTCGACCCCCGGACACGTTTTTCGGTTTTAAAATGGTTTTTCGCACGTATTATCTGTTCTAGGAGTTCCTAACTGACTTAATCTTATCTACAAACGTGATTAGGCCGTTATCAACTGAAGATAAGGCCAAATCCATCATTCTCATCTGAAAACCCCCCAACCGAAGCCTATAAATACAGACCTAGGGGCTCATTTCACAGGGGGTGATTTATTATCAATAGGAGGAGGTGCTGTCGAACTCCAGAGCCAAGAACCACGAATTTCATCGAGGGTTAGCGAGATCCCAGCGAACTCCAGCATAAAGAAGGAGCTATTCGAAGGATCCGAAGCCCCGTACGTCCGTTCCTTGATATTAGGCTTTGTCTTAATCTCGAGAAGAGCTGCTGATTTCGCTTGGTTGATTTTAGTGCTTCAATCAAATACTCTCTCGGTGAAGGTGAAACTCTGCCTAATTTTCCATCAACCGGATCAGATCTAATGTTGTCCATGGATAAACCCCGGCACAGGCAAAGATCCTGCATAAACAGAAGACCGATAAACGATCTCCCTGCGTTTGTTTGATAGAGTTGTAATTTTTATTTTCATTGTGTAAGAGTCTTATAAAAAGACTATCTTTTTTTTTGTTTTTATTGTAACGACTGAAGTTGTAATGAATGCCACAATGAATACATCAACTTTCACCGTAAACATGAGCAAGTTGAGAGCTTTGGTTGAGGGTTAGTTTGTGAGTTTTATGAGATTGTAACCATTTGTACTCTCCTTGATTTAGTAGAATCTCTCCATCCTCTCCCCGTGGGCGTAAGCAATTTGCCGAACTACGTAAAATTGGTTGCCTTGCTATTTATGTGATTTGTAATAGTTTATTTAGCTTCCCTCGACAAGTCAGTCCTAGAACTGATGAGAGGAAAAGCTAACATCCCACTTTGTTGAGATATTTTGCTTAAGGTTCTTGTTTCTTTTGTGAAACATGAATTCCTATTGCGACCTGACTCTCTTGTTGTGCTACCGAAGTGCTGTCGAAATTTCCGCTACGCGCAACAGATTCCCCATGCCACAGAAGCGACTCCACGTCACCCGCAGACAAGCCTCAACGGCTGCTGATTCTCCATGCCACAGAAGTGACTCCACGTCACCCGCCATACCGAAGTGCTGTCGAAATTTCCGCTACGCGCTGCTGATTCCCCATGCCACAGAAGCGACTCCACGTCACCCGCAAACAAGCCTCAACGGCTGCTGATTCCCCATATCTCGGAAGTGATCCGTCACCACCCATCAATCGACACTAATGGGGCAGAGGATGACTCAGCCTCCAGCTCACCTCTCGCCGTCATCATGAGCCGCCTCCCCCACTAAATACTTGTTCTACCCTCGGCGTCCTCTATAAATACAGACGCTATTCATCCTGAAAGCAGGTTCGGTCTCTCCATCACTACCTAAAAATTCCCTAGTTACATATTGGAAGAGGATACTATTCCTCCATTACTGGACCAAGTACACCAGCTGACTTGATCGTCGGAGATACCACGGGGAAACAGGCCCCGTACTCCCGCGATTCTTGTGTGTGCAGGTGATCCGCCCACCACGAGCTCTGAGAACCAAGCATAAAGTCGAAGAAGGAAAGCGGCCCTCCGTCTCTCTCGACGATCCAGCAACTCTGAAACCCACATCGACTGTTTGTTCACGAGCATCAACAACACCCAACACCTGCTATGCTAAATCTGTGACCAACTGATATTTCCTACTCTCAACCTGAACTCAAGTCAAGGATAAGTATGTTCTCATCAGAAAATATTAAATTAGATGTTCACGTCAAATAAACTGTAGGCTTATGCAGCAATAAATGATCGCAGCCAGATATGTCCGCTGCTGCGATCAAAACTTTCGCCTCCTTAGTCAAGGTACCATAAATACAAGTAGTTAGGTTGTATTTGGTTGATAGAATGTAATTTATCTTGAGAATATAATCCTCAGGCATCACACTTTTGAAATAAATAGATGTAATATTATAAGGTTTGCTACATTCAAAAGATACGTGCTTAGGGCATCTCCAATCCTTTGCTTCAAAATGGTGCAAATTTTACACCAAAATGGTGCAAAAGTCACATCTAACAGTAATTCATCTCCAACCCATTGCACCATTTTTTGCACCAAAAAGGAATATTCTCAGTATCTTTCTTTTTATCTACTTTTATATGATTATTTTTTATTCCCTATATTTTTAACTATTTCAACAATTAACCTCACATATCAAATTTTATTTTTTCACATATTTTCCAAACAAAATGATTTATTATTTAAAAAATTAAACTAATAAAACAATAAAATATTATATACCTATTATTAATATTGCCAAAATATTACATTCAAGACCACAACAGAAAATAAAATGTAAGAAAATAATTAAACATTAACAACAATGTAAAAATTAAAAATTTAGTATGCTCTTAACTATCTGAATTAGTGTATTCCTCACATAGATGATCTATCAAGCATTACGAAGCGCAATATGGGCATCTTTATCCTTGATTTTTTCGTAACGTGCAATAAATTGAGTAAATCTTGTAGTTTTATCTGCTACCATATCAACTTCTGGTGTTGGTGATTCCCTCACTTCTTGAATTGGTGCATAAAGATCACGTTCATCCTCGATTATCATATTGTGCATAATAATGCATGCAGTCATTATGTCATGTAATACATGTTTTTTCTAAAAACGTGCTGATCCTGCCACGATTGCAAATCGTGATTGGAGAACTCCGAACGCACGTTCTACATCTTTTCTACATGCTTCCTGTTTCATGGCAAAATATTTTTTCTTCCTACCTTGTGGCTGTTGGATTGTTTGTACAATAGTAGCCCATTTCGGATATATACCATCAGCTAAATAATAACCCATATTATACTCTTTTCCTTGAATAACATAGTGAGCGGGAGGAGCAATACCTTGAGCTAGGTTAGAGAAAAGATTAGATGACTCCAGCACATTGATATCATTATTGGTGCCTGGCATACCAAAATATGCGTGCCATATCCAAAGATCATAATCTGCCACAGCTTCGAGGATAATAGTTGGTGACCCACTACGTCCTGTGTATTGCCCAGACCATGCTGTTGGACAATTTTTCCATTTCCAATGCATACAATCAAGACTTCCTAACATTCCTGGAAAACCACGTTTTTTTCCAATATAGAGTAGCCTAGCAATATCGTTAGCGTTAGGTGTTCGTAGATACCGCTCTGCGAATATTTCCACCATAGCACGACAAAATTTTGTCATACTTTCAATTGCTGTTGACTCACCTATTTTAACGTATTCGTCCGTAGCATCAGCTGGTAGACCGTATGCCAACATGCGAAAAACAGCTGTTACTTTCTGTAACGGTGATAATCCCATTCTACCAAGTCCATCACTTCGTTGTTAGGAGTTCGAGAGAGATCAGATCTGAGATCTACATGGTTTTCCTCCGGATCAAAGCTTGGCCTTTGATCCCGAGAAGAGTCTCGATTTCGCTTGGTCGATTTCGATAACTAGGGCTATTATTTCCTTGGTGAAATAATCCCCTCGGCTGTTATTTCCTTTATGAAATAACACCCGCTATACCGTGTAGATCCAACCGGATCAAGATCGCGCGGTGGTCCACGGATTAACCCCGGCGCAGGCAAAGAACCCACATAAGCGAGAGACCGCAAAACAGGATCTCGTGATTCGTTCGACATAAAAGGAAAGTTGTAATTTTTCTTTTTTTTTATTTTGTTGTAACCGGATCTTATAAAAAGACCGGATCTTTGTAACCGATAAACTGTTAACAAAGTAATCAATGGAATCATCAATGAAGAAAACAATTTTTCCCGCGAACAATCTGACGACCACAGTGGGAGCCACCGATCTCGCTGTCGAGATCGTCGCGTCGCAGTCGCGGATCTCAATCCCGGTCGAGGAGGAGGTCGAGTATGAATTCGACCAGCAAAAGTTCGAGGAGTATCTGTCATCCTCGTCCGGATCGACCTCCCCCCTCAAGTCCAAGAAGTTCTCCTCCAGGAGAAAGGTCTGTTGGTATGAAGAAGTTGAGAATACCAACGAAGATCTCACCCCGATTGATGCCATGGTTGCATCAGGTGAGGCTCCACCAACCTCCAACCAGGTTAAGCCTGTTCCCGCCGATTCCTCCGTTACTCTTTCCAAGAGAGCCCGTCAGAGGCGACGCCAACGTTTGGCCAAAGAACTCGCGAAGGCGATGGAATCCACGGATAGAATCCGCTATAACACGGATCTGAAGAACAAGAGAGGCAAACAACCTCAACAACCAATGAATGACAGCTCCTCCAAGCCGCCAACGAACGAATGGATCTGTGTCACACGGAATCGTTCGACACTTGAGGAGCGCATTCGCAAGCGCCGCGCACTGTCAACGCAGGCACGGGCTCAAGTCCAAAAAGCCTGCAGAAGGCTACAGAAGGAAGTGGCCAAAAAGCCGCCACCAACCCGCCAAGTATGGAAGCCGAAGTCTGAAGCGGCGATTCAGGCTAAGGCACAATCATTGCAGCCTTCGAGGCAAGTTCAAACTCTGGCGAATCAACCGAAATCGCCGGCAATTCTAATAGCTACTCCGGGAGATCCCGCGGAATCATCCCGAAGAAGGAAGTCCATTTTGGAGCGCCTCGGCCCACTTCCCGATGAACGATGCAAGGCGCCAGTTCAAGAACGTTTGAGCCCGATCAAGAAGCCCCGAACGACTCAACATGCTGGGGGTCGCTGCCACCCTCAACATGACAAAGAAATTAGGGCATCTACGCGCACTAATTTGCGCATTGGAGTCCAGGAGCCCGCTGAGAACTCACGCCCAAAAAGGCATGTCTCGAGGCGCGTGACTCTTGAAAGCCCAAAGAAGGCAGTTCGCCCTTAGAAGGAAACGTTATCGTCTGATGATGACGACGTTATACCTGAGAAGTCGTACCAACACACGATAGGTTACTCCGACCGTCAAGCCGACGAATTGTACTATCGTGTTGGTGGTACGAGGAAAACCAGGAAGAGGAGTCCTCGAGGACTAGAAACTCAGTGCCCTTGTTCCAAACTCATTCGGGCAGTATTGTCTGAGTGCAACTGCATCAAGACGGTCCCCGAAAGAGTTTCGGTCTTCGAATGGCTCAGTACCGAAATGCCAAAACTAAGGATTAGGAGTTTCCGACAAAGAAGAACGGTAGTTGAAGACGGAGAATTCCTGAGGGTCACCACTAATATGACCAGCAAAGGGACATCGACACAGGATAATCCCGAGTCGATTCTGGAAGTACCCTGGCGGATGACCCGTCTGCAGTCCGGAGCCATCATACGAGGAACTTATGGTAGGGTTCGGACAAGATTATCGTCAGAAGATGAAGAATCGGATTCTTGCTCTGCTGTCACATCAGACAATACAGTATCCAGCGAGGGGCAACCCCGCGAGTCACTGATGATAATCACGGAACAAGTAGCCAAGATGCTCGAAGAAGCCATGGCTAAACAACAGGAGAGCTTCAAGTTCGAAATGCAGATGGCCATGCAGAGTATGAGAGAAATGCATGACCAACAAATCCAAGCATTGACGAACAAGCAAGGCGAACCAAGTTGTCGTAACCAGATTGATCTGGAAGATGAGGACACAGATGCGAATGAAACTCACAATGCCAATAATTCTTCCATCAATGCAGGGGGTGGTAACGAGAATGCCAACGAAGACTCAGGTGAAAGCTTGAAGATTAAAAACCTCGAGAGCAAAATCAATACGTTGATTTCTGCTCAAGAGATGAAGAAGACGGGCATTCCTTGTCCATACCCAAGAGAATGGGAATCAATCCCCTATCCGGTGAAGTTCAGTCTAATTAACTTCACGCCATTTGATGGGAAGGGTTCACCCACTCAGCATTTGATTTACTTCAAATCGCACCTAGGAGTCATCTCCGGTAATGAGCCTCTGATGGTACGGTCCTTCGTTGCCCCTCTTCGTGGAGCCGCCTTCGATTGGTATCGTCGCCTCAAGCCAGGAAGCGTGAATAGCTGGGATGACATGGAAACTAAGTTCCTCGCTAATTTCTTCGACGACGACACCGAGATATCCATCGGATCGTTGGTCAATGAGAAACAAAAAGACGGGGAATTGGTTGACACCTTCGTCAAAAGGTTCCGGAACAAGGTGATGAACTGTCGGGACCCGATCACTGAGGAGTTCATTCTCCAGACTTGCCACAACAACCTCGCATTGGACGTATTGGAGGCAATCGGAACAACACCGTCTAACACTTGGAAAGACTTGAAGGTGCGTGGTGAACAAGCCGAACGCTTCCTCCAAAGGAAGAAGGCCGAGAGGAACCTACTGACGGCTAATCCTCTGAACTCGAACTTCGCCTCTCGTGGTAAGGGCAAGGCACCTGCAGCTGCTGTTGGTGCTAATCGAACGTCACAACAGTAATCCCGAAGGCAGCAAAAGACTTCGGACCCGAGACTCAAAAAAGAGTATTCCTTCAAGGACGAAGACGTTCCAGCCATCTTCGAATCCCTCCTTGGAAGCAACAAGATCAAGCTACCACCTATCACAAATCAGGAGAAAGCTGACAACACTATGGACCCAAAGTACTGTGCATACCGCAGGAGGGTAGTTCATCCCACCAAGGAATGCTTTGCTCTTAAGAATAGCATCCAAACCTTGGTTGAGGTCGGCATTATATTGCTTAATTAAGTCGAAACAACACTCCGAAGAGTATAAGAGTATAAACTGCTTCTCAATCCTCCAACAGGTGCATGAGGTTAAACTGCTCCTTTCTAAACTCCGATAAGTATAAGAGTATAAATTGCTCCTTTCTTAAACTCCGACGAGTATAAGAGTATAAACTGCTTCTCAATCCTCCGATCGGTATAAGAGGTTAAACTGCTCTCTGATACTCCAACATGTATATGAGTCTAAACTGTTTCATTTCTTTCACGAGAAGTTCCTGGAGAATTTTTATATGTAATATTCTTAAGGATAACACAGTCATGTAACTGAATATAATGTCGGACCCAGTTCCACAAGGGAAGCTGGGGGTGGATTAATCATGTATCAGGAAGTTCCCGAAAGAATACCACATGTGATATTCTTAGGGATAACCCAATCACTATAAAAGTGATAAGTAAAACATCCACATTTAAACTATAAATGTCGGGATGTTTTCCATTATTGTTATCAAATTCACTAATTCTCATGAGTTATCTTGTTGAGACGAGATTCGATCCTTTTGACAGATTAATCTTTCCTCACAAAAATCCCCCACTGATCAAGTCAATTGATGGTGGGTCCACTAAATTTTCTGTCCGCCAATTTATGGCAATTTCCAAAGCTTGACGTGTTAAGTCCTGATTAATTAACATCAAACCCCTTCATCGAGTGGCCAGTACAAACCAGTATTTCTACTGCTACTTGTATTCCACTCCCTTTTCTTTCAGGTCAAACCTATAAAAATTAGGGCCACAACCAAAATCCCCTCTCGATTCCTTCAATGAACGAGAGGCCCATAAATTGAGCGATCAAATCTTCCTACAGTTAGGATCGTCTTAAACCTCTCATTCGGTCAAACTTTCTTATATTTAGAACCAAAACTAAAATCCCCTCTTGATTCCTCCAATGAACGAGAGGTCCACTTTCAAATCGAGTGATCAAACCTTCCTACAGTTAGGATCATCTTAAACCTCTCATTCGGTCAAACTTTCTTATATTTAGAACCAAAACTAGAATCCCCTCTCGATTCCTCCAATGAACGAGAGGTCCACTTTCAAATCGAGTGATCAAACCTTCCTACAGTTAGGGTCATCTCAAACTCCTGCTTGGTCAAACCTTCCTACAGTTAGGACCAAAACCACAATTCACTCTCGATAAATGAGAAATTTATCTTTAGTTCGGTAATCAAATCTTCCAACAGTTAGGGTTATCTGAATCTTTTCGATTCTCGGAGTGGAGATCCCCCTCTTAGTTTCACCTTTTCGGATTCTGGGGGTGGAGATCCCACCTCGAGTCTCCTTTCCAGCTGAAGATAGAATATAAAATTCTTCTTCTTCAGTGTCGGGAGATAGAATATAAAATTCTTCATCTCCCATTTCGGGTTCGTCTTTGCCCCAAGAGAAGACACCAACCTTCTCAAAGAATTTGTCAATCTAGGATTCATCCTAGGAAGTTTATCCCGAATCCTAAGCAGGGATAAGTCTGCGCCTAACACGCGCTGTCGGTTTAGTTTTTCTCCGAAGAAGAAGACACCAGAATTCGATTCTGGGGTATTCTATCCCGAAACCTAAGCAGGGATAAGTCTGCGCTTAACCCGCGCTGCCGGTTAGTTCTTAATCGTTAAAAAGAACACCCGCCCACATATTCAACATTGTGGCAGGTTGTTATTAATAACACCAAAATCCATGCCTTACGCGCATGGGGAATTTTATCCCGAATCCTATGTAGGGATAAGTCAACGCCTAACACGTGTTGCCGGTTTAGTCTTTCTCCGTAGAAAAAGACACCAGAGTTCGATTCTGTGGAAGTTTATCCCGAATCCTAAGCAGGGATAAGTCTGCGCCTAATACGCGTTGCCGGTTTAGTCTTTCTCCATAGAAAAAGACACCAGAGTTCGATTCTAGGGTATCTTATCCTGAAACCTAAGCAGAGATAAGTCTGCGCCTAACCCGCGCTGCCGGTTAGTTCTTAACCGTTAAAAAGAACACCCACCCACATATTTAACATTGTGGCAGGTTGTTATTAATAACACCAAAATCCATGTCTTACACGCATGGGGAATTTCATCCTGAATCCTAAGAAAGGATATGCCGACGCCTAACACGCGTCGCCGGTTTAGTCTTTCTCCGTAGAAAAAGACACCAGAGTTCGATTCTGGGGTATTCTATCTCGAAGCCTAAGTAGGAATAGGTCAGCGTCTAATACATGTTGCTGGATAGCCTATTCCCATAACAATGGCGCAGTCTACGTATTCGAAGTCATAGCAGCGAGTCTCAGAGAATTCACTCTCTTAGCACAACGTTACATGCAGAACGGATTTAGATAATCCGCATGCTAGCCCGACTCAAACGGTAGTCGGTAAAGGCTAATCAAATCCGTTGAAGGCTGGGGGTTAGCCAAAAATCCTAAAGTCAACACTAACACGCGTTGCCGGGTAGCCTGTTCCCGTAACAATGGCGAAGTCTACGTATTCGAAGTCGTAGCATCAAGTCTAAGGGAGTTCATTCCTTTAGCACAACGTCACATGCGGAACGGACTTAAGACAATCCGCATGTAAGCCCGATTCAAACGGTAATCGGTAAAAGCATGTCAAATCCGTTGAGGGCTGAGGATTTGCCAAAAATCCTAAGTCAACGTCTGATACATGTTACTGTTTAGTCCTTTCACGGGAGAAAGACGAAGTCTACGTATTCAATATCGTAGCACTAAAAGGGTTAACTCTTTTAGCATAACATCACATGCGGAACGGACTTAAACAATCTGCATGCTAGCCCGACTCAAACGGTAGTTGGTAAAGGTTTATCAAACCCGTTGATGGCTGAGAATTTGCCAAAAATTCTATAAATGCAAGTCATTAAAGCATCATCTTCATTAGTTGGTCTCGTGACTTGAGCATCTAACAACTCCGACATTTAGGACCGCCATGCTCCAATACCTCAAGAGCTTAAACTGTGTATACTCCAACAAACGTCAAGCGATCCGAAACCCTAGGGTCAACGCCGGTCAATGCGTAACCCTAGATCAACGCCAGTCAACGCGTTGCGACCAAAAGTCAACGTACGACGTTCGAAACCCTAGGGCCAACGCCTATCAACGCGTAACCCTAGGTTAACGCCAGTCAACACGTTGCGAGCAAAAAGTCAACACGAGTTAATATATCATGACGGAGATAGTCAGTTCAAAGTTAACTCGATGACACGAGCCAAACTCAACTCATAAGTTTTAGATTTGAGACTTCGACGACGGCCAGACGATAAACGCGGCGCCGGAAGGATTTCAGCTATTCGTCAAAGCATCGAATAGACTAAAAATCAAAGGAGTCAAGAATTAAAGCTAACTGCGGGTCCTTTACACTGAGTAGTCATGAACCAGTCTTGAACCAGGTTGAACTAGTTCTGAACCAGTTTGAACCAGATTTGGACCAAAATTCAAATTGGAGCTAAACTGAGTGTCGAAACGACTTCAAATCAACCGACGGCCGGTTCAGATCATTATTATTACTCCAATAAGGTATACGAGTATAAACTATTCCCTATTTTTGGTTGAGAAGTTTCTGGAGAATATTTTTCTAAAAATATTCTTAAGGATAACTCAACAACACTACGCCAGACAACGCGTCGCAAATGAGAGCTCAACGCCAACAATCGATGGTCAGTTTTATGTTGAACCAACAAACACGGGCTAAAGATTAGTAAATCATGAATTAACTTCAAGTTCAAAATTCCGACAACGGTCAGACAATAAATGCAGCACCGGAACCCTTGCAGACATTCGACAAAGCACCGAATAGCCTGAAGGATTAAAGGAATCAAGAATAAAAGTCATTCCAAAGTCCCGTTACACCGACTGAAGGTTGGGACAATCATATCCAAAGTATTCCAAACTCTTCTATAAAAGAACGAGGCTGAAATACCTTTGAGGGGGTATCTGTAGGCGTATAAAACTGCTTATAGGTCCCTTAACACAGCTCGGCACGGTGATTCAACAAATCAACGAACCATCGGGCGATGTATCCAAGCGTAATCGTTAGACCTCAACATCGAAGCTAAGTGAGATGCGACGAAGCAGATTAATGAGGCTACGAGGCTAACGAACCGCACGCGAACAACGGAATACATCCACTCGCGTGCGGAATCAAGTTAACGGTTCGGTGAGTCAACGAGTCATCTAACTGTGGGACGGATTCGAATTCAAACACCGAAACGGATTTACTATCAAATCAGGATCCAGACTGCCAAATCAGAGTCCAGATCAATAATAAAACTCGGATAAACCGCGAAACCGGAAAACGGACACAACGGCACACCCAGGAGAGCTCGGCCAAAACCGAGCCACCTGGAGGTAGCTCGGTGGCCGAGCCACCTGGAGGTAGCTCGGTGGCCGAGCCACCTAGGTGCCTGGGCACAGTTCAGAGCCTATAAATAGATCTGGATGCTCATTGTTTTGGAGGTTGGAATTTTGGAGCCGAAACTCTGCTGGATTGAGAACTCACCCTCGGATTTTCAACTTAGAAGACTCGGACTCTCAGATCTGGTTCTTGGCGATCATCCACGCCAAATAAGGCAGGAGTTCGAGAGAGATCAGATCTGAGATCTACATGGTTTTCCTCCGGATCAAAGCTTGGCCTTTGATCCCGAGAAGAGTCTCGATTTCGCTTGGTCGATTTCGATAACTAGGGCTATTATTTCCTTGGTGAAATAATCCTCTCGGCTGTTATTTCCTTCATGAAATAACACCCGCTATACCGTGTAGATCCGATCGGATCAAGATCGTGCGGTGGTCCACGGATTAACCCCGGTGCAGGCAAAGAACCCACATAAGCGAGAGACCGCAAAACAGGATCTCGCGATTCGTTCGACATAAAAGGAAAGTTGTAATTTTTCTTTTTTTTTTATTTTGTTGTAACCAGATCTTATAAAAAGACCGGATCTTTGTAACCGATAAACTGTTAATAAAGTAATCAATGGAATCATCAATGAAGAAAACAATTTTTCCCGCGAACAACCTTGAGCTAGGTTAGAGAAAAGATTAGATGACTCCAGCACATTGATATCATTATTGGTGCCTGGCATACCAAAATATGTGTGCCATATCCAAAGATCATAATCTGCCACAGCTTCGAGGATAATAGTTGGTGACCCACTACGTCCTGTGTATTGCCCAGACCATACTGTTGGACAATTTTTCCATTTCCAATGCATACAATCAAGACTTCCTAACATTCCTGGAAAACCATGTTTTTTTCCAATATAGAGTAGCCTAGCAATATCGTTAGCGTTAGGTGTTCGTAGATACCGCTCTGCGAATATTTCCACCATAGCACGACAAAATTTTTTCATACTTTCAATTGCTGTTGACTCACCTATTTTAACGTATTCGTCCGTAGCATCAGCTGGTAGACCGTATGCCAACATGCGAAAAACAGCTGTTACTTTCTGTAACGGTGATAATCCCATTCTACCAAGTCCATCACTTCGTTGTTGGAAGTAATAGTCATGATCTTTCACTGCATCAACAATACGAAGGAACAAACTTCTTGACATCCGATATCGACGACGAAACATATCTTCTCCAAAACGTGGATTATTGGCAAAGTAATCTATGACCAAATTCTGATGCGCATTTTCTCGATCGCGGTTGATCACTGCATGACCGGGAATCGAGCCACCATGGATCGGTTGGTAGTTGTGTTGATGTAAATTGTTAACGAGGATCATGTTGTTGTTGATGTACTCACAAATTACTTCTTCGGTTTCATCAATCTCTGCAATGATATTGGACAGAAAATTATCATCATCCGAAGATGAAGATGATGATAAGTATGATGGACCTCCAACATCGAAATTCATTTTTGAAGTAAGAAAAGAATGACTGAAGTATGCAGAAATGGAGAATAATAATTTTAACACAACAACGAGTAATTGTGTGGATGTACCTAATCTAGTATGCTATTTATAAAACTTTGCTTAGCTGTATACATTGAACAATGTGTAAAGTTGAGCTGATTTTAGGAAATGCTTTCCAGCTGTTATCAATTTGTCACAAAATTCAAATTTGCTTTTAGCTGTATACGTTGGACAATGTATAAAGCTGACCTGATTTCAAAAATTGATTCCCACTCGTACAAAGCTTTCACACAATTCAAGGAGAGCTGAGCTGTGTATACGTTGGACAATGTGTAAAGCTGACCTGATTTCAAAAATTGATTCCCACTCGTACAAAGCTTTCACACAATTCAAGGAGAGCTGAGCTGTGTATACGTTGGACAATGTGTAAAGCTGACCTGATTTCAAAAATTGATTCCCACTCGTACAAAGCTTTCACACAATTCAAGGAGAGCTGAGCTGTGTATACGTTGGACAATGTGTAAAGCTGACCTGATTTCAAAAATTGATTCCCACTCGTACAAAGCTTTCACACAATTCAAGGAGAGCTGAGCTGTGTATACGTTGGACAATGTGTAAAGCTGACCTGATTTCAAAAATTGATTCCCACTCGTACAAAGCTTTCACACAATTCAAGGAGAGCTGAGCTGTGTATACGTTGGACAATGTGTAAAGCTGACCTGATTTCAAAAATTGATTCCCACTCGTACAAAGCTTTCACACAATTCAAGGAGAGCTGAGCTGTGTATACGTTGGACAATGTGTAAAGCTGACCTGATTTCAAAAATTGATTCCCACTCGTACAAAGCTTTCACACAATTCAAGGAGAGCTGAGCTGTGTATACGTTGGACAATGTGTAAAGCTGACCTGATTTCAAAAATTGATTCCCACTCGTACAAAGCTTTCACACAATTCAAGGAGAGCTGAGCTGTGTATACGTTGGACAATGTGTAAAGCTGACCTGATATCAAAAATTGATTCCCACTCGTACAAAGCTTTCACACAATTCAAGGAGAGCTGAGCTGTGTATACGTTGGACAATGTGTAAAGCTGACCTGATATCAAAAATTGATTCCCACTCGTAGAAATACATAACTTGATGTTCACTATAATTTGTAGTTAGTTCGAGCAAAGATGTTATTTATGCAAGAACCAAAGTACAAAAAAGGTTTCAAATTTGATCATGTCTGGGAATATGGTTAAAAATTTTGAAAAATTCAAAGATGATGTCCCCACAGCAAGACAAGTTGGTCGAAAACAATCCCAAAGTGTGAACTTCGACTCGTCACAATCAGATAATCCCACTCCGGGATCTCCTATATCAACATCTCCTGGACTGTCATCATTTACTCCATCTAAATGACCTATTGGGGTAAAAAAAGCTAAATTAAAAAGGAAAAATGATGATCATGAGTCAAGTGTAGTGGAGTCCATCGAGACCTCCAGCAACCGACTTATAGACAGGTTAGACAAGGCGAGCTTGGACAGGCAAGTAGCGTTTGATATCGAACGAGAAAAGATAGCCATGAAAAAAGATAGAGATGAATGGAAAATTATAATGAAAGATTTGAATTCCATTATTGATCCAAACGTGCGTGAGTACGTTCGAGCTCAACAGATTAAAATAATACAAAAAAGAAATCAACAAGAATAAGGGTCTGCTTCTAATTTTGGCAATTATTTCAATGATATTGGACACTCTGGCCCCGATCTACCAGATTATTGAGAGTTGCTTGTCCATCTCAGGAAATGTTCTATGTTTAGTTTGTATTTTATGTTTTATTTTAATGAAGTTTTATATTATACGTGTCAGTTTTTATATGTTATGTATTTCAGATATGTAAATTATATTTGAATTATGTATTGGGATTGCTCTTTATATTTCATGGGACTTTACTTAATATCTAGATTTTAATATTATAATTAATAATAATGTCTTTTAAATTTTAGCATTATTTTTAATTTTAAAAAATAATTTATTTTGTCCAAATTATACAATTAGGGTAAAATTATAAAATTTAAATATTATTGGGATTGTTTTATATATTTAATAAAACAATTGGGGTCAAATTATAAATACATAAAAGTATGAGGTTAAACAAAAAAAACAAAAATAATAATAAATGAACAGTAATGCGGTGATGAACAGTGCGACGCCAAATATGGCGTCGCGCTGTTCATCACCGCTAAAATAGCGCGACAAATGCCGCTGGGTTGGAGAGGAATCGGAGCGGCAAAATGACGTTTTGCCTCAAAATGACGCGGGGTTGGAGATGGTCTTAATATCTAACATAGTAAAAAGGGGTAGCGCACTCTGGCCAAAAAGGCAAAAGAAAAAGAAGAAAAAGAGACAATGTCGTCCGGCGTTTTGTTGATGGAGTACGCGCTCGAAAGATTAGCCACGGTCTGCGTTTGTTGTTGATCTACCATGTAACGATTTGCACTTACGTCATGTCAGCAACACACCATTCAACATTGTAACATCATCTACAATAAATAATATAAATACTAAAACAACCTTAAACTTGTAGGCACATTCCCAACTGGATTTACAAATAGGTCTAAAATTACTCCTTACTAAGAATTGCTCCTCATTATGAACCATTAATTATAATATAAATACTTTCCATTATAATCTTTTACTAGTCAAAGCACTTACGCTAACTAATAAGTAGTCATCAAGGATATAAGGTGATGTTAATTTGATTCACCAACGTAGCTAAGATTACGTTTGGGGCAATTAGAGGATATCCTTAAGTAATTACATGTCTCTATAAAATAGCCAATTAATTAGGTGCTTCCTGAGCAACAGCGCCGACTCCGTTGCAGTCCAGTGTGCGCATACGCGGAGGCACATATAAGAGGGTGGTGTCAAGTCACCCTCTTATAGAGTGGTGCTATAGAGACCCCAAAATAAGGGACCCTGAGTGGGACAAGTGAGGTGTCGCCTCCCTGTCCCCTGATGCATTGTTCATAAACAGTACCTTCTTAAGAAAGTACTTTCTCTTTCTCCTTTTTTTTTACACTTTCCATTTAGTTTCTGCTCACCAAACATGTCCTAAAAATCACATTTAAAATAGGATAATTCTATAAAAACCACTTTTGATTGTCAATTATTACAGCTAAATAGGTCCACTTTTCAGTTAAGGTTTTTGGGTAATTAACCCTACTAGGTATAGTTAGTGACTGCTTATAACTTGACTTAAAAGTGAGTCCAAATGGTTAATTACAACCAAACACTGATTAAGATTGTCCACGTAAAATTGATAATCAAACACAGTACAGTAAATCATTCTCTTTAATCTATCTTGCACCGTTGGCTATTTACTTGATGACCTAGAAAGGTTAAAAAATCATTTTTTTAATTATTTCTTCTTCTTTATCAAAATGTTCTATCCCACTACGCTCTTTTTTCTTTTTATACTTGGATTCAATGAAGGACAAGAGATCATCAAATTCTCTTCTGTAAAGTCCCTTTCAGTCTTTGGAAGAACAAGTATCGCCAGACCTTACAAGAACTGAAAATTCCGAACAAGTCCCAAATTGCACGTGTCTTCAATGTAAACTTAAGTATACGCTGGTAGCCTTTTCTTTTTCTTTTTTTCTTTTTTTAAAAGGAATCGACATTTTTCCATGACCCAACATGGAACGATATTCGTCGATATTTCAGCATATATATACTTAATTAGCAATCCACAGATGACACCTTAGTGAAAGCGGTCAGCAGCAGAACAAGTGATATTCTAGATGCATTTCCGAAGAGAAACCTGAGATATAGAGGCCCTTACCTTATCTTATCATTAAGAAGCTAGCTTTACCTATAGTTGGTAACTAATCATAAAGTAAACATGTACGTATGATGAACTTGTAAACATGCAGACTCCTATAACAAGGAAAAGAAAATTGAAGGGAACTGCACTACTACTGGCTACTTCGGTTCAAGTTCTATTGAGAATGAGTAGCCACCAGAGTATTCAAAAGGATTATTGCCTCCATCCCTCCTAGGAATCAGATATCTCGTTGATGACGACGATGCTGAAGATGAGTTTCTGCTCATTCCTTCATTAGCCGCCAGCACCTCAAGTTCTTTAACAACCTCGCCCATTGTCGGTCGATCTACCGATGAGTCCTCAACGCATCGAAGTGCTAGGTCTACAAACCCCTTGAAACCTATAATATGAGGTCCATATCGGATGACAGGATCCATTAACTCAGCTAGACCATAGAACTTCAGGTCTTTCTTGTTTATTGACTTTTGAACCTCTCGGACAATGTATTTGCTATTGTGAATTGGTGGCATTGCTGTTATTAGTTCTAGCATTACGACCCCAAAACTGTAAACGTCGCTTTTCCCCGTCAGCAGTTGAGTAGTGTAGTACTCTGGATCTAGATAACCCTGTAAACATTGATAAATGTGTTTTAACGAAATTTCATTTCGAAGTTGAGATAATTTCACGAGACATTGTTCGTATTTGTGCTAGCATAAATTACCAGGTATTGCCAATCAACATATACAGCTTCATTTTTAGTTTTTTAAATACAGAAAATAAAGACAACAACAATAAAAAGAAG